GTGCTTCTGCCTCCTCATTAATCCTCCCTCTCCTTATTTTTTTTTTTTGGTCACCAGAAGCAAGGAAGACCACGTGTAGTTTTTAGGGTGAAAATTGTTAATAGAGGAAGCGGCAAGAAGTCAAGAGGAGTAATTGCCTCCTCTTTTGACTCAGTTAGTGGGAAACATATATATGAGTAACAATGTAGTAACTACTCTATTTCTTTTGTATAAGTGGTAATTTTGTTTAGCGATTTATAGTTTTAGACGCCATAACCCTAATGAACACCACGATCAATTTATCATATCATACATATTTGAACTCCTTCACATGAAACCTATGCGTTAGGAAACTTGAACATGATAGGGCGTGACAGCGTCTGACAACAACAATGTTGGGAGCTATGAGCAACACTCTGTTATGGATGAGAGGACATGTGGTTACAGAGTCGAGCACTCGACAAGCGAAGAGGAGGAGGCTCAAGTTGGGGAGAGCCATCCTTCTAACGTGGTCGACCAAGGGGATTCGAAAACAACAAAGGAGATAGAAGACCCTCCTCATGTAGATGGTGGTCGATGCTTCGATGGAGCGAGGTTCGATGAAGGGACAACAAAAGCCTTGATATGGGGTAAGGCTTGTGAAGACCTTCTCGTTGCGGGCAAAGTGTGGAGGCTAGGCATTCCGCACGTGAAGAGGAGAGCGAAACAGGACAAGGTGTCACTAGTGAGAACGACACCGAAGGCTTTGAAAGCTTGCTTGAACAAGCAAGCCAAGGTGACAAGGACAACGACCAAGATGACGCAGATGTGGATGAAATGCTCAATATCTCAGTGCAAGAGAGCGAGGGCAAGGAGAGCACGAAATCTTGGAGGAGTGGAACTTGTGCAAGGGCCAGGGCCACCCTTGCTCGCCATGAAACGCATAATCACCACACCAACAATGACGCTAATGCGAAGAAGGTGCCACGACGAGGACTTCGTGAATTTGGTGGGGGAGAATGTCACGGGAAAATTCTAGAATGCCCTAGAAAGATGTAGGTGCATGCATGTTTCTCTAGATTCATGCACTCGTGCACATGCATCCTCCCTATTTATTATGATTCATGTATAGGTGAACATACATTCACCTTATTAATTATTGTTCATGTATTGGGCTAGTTCATGTATGGAGGGACTATCTAGGTTCATTCATTAATGATGGCCTACATACATTGTACTAAGTGGAGAGGATGCCTATATAAGCATCCCTCTCCCTCATTTTTCATTCATCCAGAAATTGAAAGTTTCCATCTCTAGAGCTTTTCTTCATACTTGTGAGTTTGAGTGAATACGAGCAAGGCTGACTTAGCGCTCTAACGAGACTTGAGTGCTAAGTGCCGCACGGCCAAGAATTGGTCCGTGACAGGAGTGAGAGAGAGGACTGGAGAGTTTTCGGACTAGTCGACATTGGTGCGGTCACCGATCGGGGGACTGGTACTGGACGTCGATGGGAGGATGGCGGCGGGATGATGGAACGGGGGACTGAAGGATAGATGACGTACAGTAAATGGTCTAGGGTTTTATTATTACCTTTTCCCAATTAACTATTTAATAAACATAATATTGATGATGATTATACAATATCAATTCTACTTTTAACTATCTATTACCTAAACTCCTTCCATCCAATAAAAAGGCTTTAAGAAACCCTTTAAACTTATAGGCTTCAAGACCAGATCTGAAACAGTTGTAGGCTGTCGCTTGAAACTGCAGAATCTGTAGGGCTACCTTTGGATTGGATTGATTCGGAGATCTTGTCAAGTGAAGCTGGAGGTGTTTTGATGGGGTCTAAAGGTATTGCTGGTTTGGTCCGATGTTTGCTGCTTTGTTTATGTTCGGCTCTGTTTCTGCAGGAAGGAGTGATGATCCAAAATATCTGTATGCTATTTTGTTGGAATCACTTTCAGCCTAGAGCCTTCGTATCCATTATTTGTATTCTGCTGCTGTTCGGACTTGTGCATCCTTTTTTGTTTCTTGTTTTGTCGTCTGTTTGCTTTGTTTTTTTGCTTAAACTCTTTGTTGTCTTTTCTTTCATTAATATTATTTCACCATTATAAAAAAAAGACCAGATTTAAAATATTTTTCCTTTCGCTAATACTTATCTTAAATGAGATTTTTCTTCTTCTCTCATGTATGGTTTTTTTTCTTCTCCTTAACCCACGTGTATAATGTTTAACTTTTTTGTATTGCTCGATATCTTAACAAATTTTTCGTAGCCCACAGTTTTTAGTCGTTAAATAGACAAGCTTTCCCTTTTTCTAGGACTTTTGTAAATGAAGTTTTTTTTTCTTCACTCACATATGGGTTTTTTCTCGTTAACCCACGTGTATCATGTTAATTTTTTTGAATTGCTCGATATCTTGGTATATATCAATTCCAACCACATATCTCAAATATCGAATATTACTAAAAAAATCTCAATCACAAATCCAAAAAATTATTTCAGTAATCGTTAATACCAAATATTGATAAATTTAGTGTGTATTTGGTGTATCCCAGTTCTCAAATACTGATACCAAACTTCCATCCCTAGCTACGAACAATTTTTAGAGATTGCAATCCTTGGGGCTATGTCATTGACTTTCCAAGTTATGGTTCATTACTAATCAACTTAAATCACTACTCATTAGCTAGGATAAAACTAATACGCACTTGAACATGGTACCATGGAATAACTATATATTCTCATTCCTTAATGAGATTTACTATGTCGAGTAACTTTCTATTACCCCTAACTAACCACTGCACAAGTAACATTCATTATTAATGAATTAAAGAACTAAATTAGCTTGACCACTATTCACACGACCTCACACGAGAACTTCATATTCTACTTAATTAGTAGTCGTTGTTCTGGCCAAATCAGTTATGGTTTGTTCACTGTCAAAGTTTAAAGATCATTACATATAGAAGCTTATACACGCACATTAACTTGCACCTAACTGTATTTTAAGTATCATTAGCTTCGTTTAAATAGGGATAGGATGACCACCAATGTTTAATTTCATTATTATAGATTTTGGAATGTGTGTCAAGAAGTTTGAAAAAAAATTCAATCGAAGAACTATATTGGTATCACAAAGGTTAATGATTCTTGAAAAGTTCGTTCCATTCTCTAATAACACCATCATTTAAAACATTCTCTTCACTTCTAATTAACATATACATTTTTAGGTAAACCGACGCGAAGCACAGGTCAATTATTATTTTTATTTTTTTGGGTAGAAACGGGTCAATTATTTGGTAATAATAAAATGACCAATTTCCGAAACTAAGGAGGAAGCCTCTAAAGCTGGGAACAGGAAACCGGATCATACCGGCCGGTTCAACCGGTAAAACCAAAAACCGGACCAGAAATTATACGATAGGCTGGTGGAGGGCATTTTACCGTTTCGGCCGATTTTTGCGATTTAACCGGCACAACCTGGCATACCGCCCGGTTTCTTTCCAACCGGCGGTAGACTAGAATTGAAGGAAACGCCGCCGTTTCATCACTTAAAATTAAAAAAAAATCACTATTTACGGAAAACCCTAATCTCTAATCGAAGCAAATCGGGAGGGAGCCTTCATCGTTTTTTCTTCCCCAACCCTGCCTCGCCGCTTCTCCTCTCCTCTAGCGACCCGCACCGCGACCAACGACCTGCGGTGCTGCAACCCCTTACCGGCGAAACAAACGAGGCAAGTCGGTAACCCGAGACCGGCGAAAGGTTGAGTCGACCCTGCTCCGCCGCTCTGTTGTTCCTCTTCTCTTCTCTTCTCTGGCGAGTGGCGACTGGGGACCCGCGACCGGCGATAGGTCGAGCCGCTCGCTCCGCCGTGCTGATCCCTGCTCAAGTCTCCCTCCCCCTGCTCAAGAGCATCGACATCGCAGATAGATGCAGATCTCTTTTCCTGAACAAACGGTTAAAACCCAACAACCAATTAATCATTCTCAAAAGGCAAATTAGGTAAGGAAAAAAGCTCTTAGACTGCTCTGTGTTACTGCTTTATCAGGAAACCGTGCTTGTTGTATACTGCAACAAGGGATAAGGATCAAGAAACCTCCATTGCTAAGGTAGTCAAAGAAGAAGACTTAGAGAAGGAACGCTTGCTTATTTTTCCAGTTTGTTAGAGTGGAAAATTAGGGACAACGATCGGGGGTTTATTGGAATCATTCGAATGAAATGGTATCTTGAATCTAGTATATTCCTATTTAGTTTATTCTGGTTTGTTATCCGGTATATTCCGGTTTTATTCCGATATTATTTCGAAACGGTATTCTGAATATGCCGGTACCATTTTTTAACAAAATAATATTTTTTAATTATAAAAACGGTATTTTACCGGTACACAATGATTGAACAACGGTCATACCACAAAATACCCTACCACTGACGGATCCGGTATGACTTCCGGTATGGTTTCTTTTACCATGCTCTAAAGCTTACTGGACAGGGCTTGTTTCCGAAAGATGCCACTTCCAATGCCTAAAATGACCAAATCTATGAAGTCTATGTTTCGCCTAGGTTTTGAAGTAATTCTTTTTTTCAAAAATTTAAATGAACTCACACATTTCTACCAATTGACTTTGAAAAATGTGAAAGTAATTTTTACCAAATGTTATAGTTTTTTTTTTCAAAAAAAAAACATATTTTCTCACTTATATTTTTTTTATGTATAATATAATCCAACATCCATTTGACAATTTGGTCTTTTATAATCATTTCGATAATTTCATAAGTTGATATATTCAAAACTATTTATTATAGTTTACAGACCAAACATTTTATAAAAAATATTTGAAGACGCACTTCTCTAGAAACTCCAATCACATGCGCAGCAACTGCATAACAACAATCACAAGTCCATTCTTGTAATTGTCGAGCGTGAAAGTCCACCTCATTAGGTAGCCCATAACAACCTAACAGACCGAGGTATCACTTCTACCCCTACATCAAAGAGTAAGTGAAAGAACTAGTTGGAAGTCTTTTTTCATTTTTTTTTTTTATGTGAGTGTCATTTTTTTCTTTCATTTTGACAAATCCATTCCTCATACAATATAATATTGTAAATATATATACAATTCAACAAGAGAGCTAAGTTTTGATCTATTATAAGAAGAAAAAAAATGGAAATGGAGAAATTTGAAAAAAGTTGTGCCAAACCAGCTCTACATATAGACTAAAGTTGCTCTTTGGGTTTCCTGAAACTGGTTGGGGTAGAAACGGGAGAGTCGCCACCGTTCGAAAACGTGTCGTAAAGTGCCGGGTCCGAATACGTAACCAGGTGCGACAACGGCAGCTTGATTCGATGTCTCAACCCCCGATTTCCGTGCTGCCGCGGGTTCCGGCGCCGGCGACCGTCACCCGACCTTTTCCCTTCTCCTTCCTCATCGGCGCCACTCCCAGATCCCTTCCCGTCGTCGGAAACCGGCCTCACGGCCGCATTTTCGTTCGGAACGATGTAGACGAATGTGCCGGACGCAAATGCGTCTTCGTCTTGGAACCCCTGAAGGGAATCAAGGAGGGCGACCACGTTGGTCATAGTGGGCCTGGGCTTGGGATGATGGCTGAGGCATTTGTAGGCCAGCAATGCGGCCTTATGGGCCCCGCTACGAGAGTACTGGCCTTCCAGCCTGGGGTCCATTACCCGATCCAGCTTGTTTGGGTCCTTCAGCATCGGCCTGGCCCATTCCACTAGACTCTGCTCCCTGTACGGCCTCGCGTCGTCCATGGACCGCTTCCCCGTCAGCAGTTCCAGCAGCACGACCCCGAAGCTGTACACGTCGCTCATCGTCGTGAGGTGACCTGTCATGACGTACTCAGGTGCTGCGTAGCCCTGTGTGCCCATCACTCTGGTGATGACGTGCGTCTCTTCTCCTTCCGGGCCATCTTTTGCCAATCCGAAGTCGGATAGTTTTGCCGTGTAGTCCTGCAAAAATAATGTAGCGATTTGTTAGCGAACTAATCATTTGTTCCCAATAATTTGAGTGGTTGAAAAATGGATAGTTACGATTTTTATTCTCTTACATGCCCCTCAAACGAAAACCTATCTTTTTTTTGGGATTTTCTTATACGGTTTGCACAGGTTGAATGTATTATTCCTTGTGCTGCCAAACAATGTAGTCAAAATTGCGTTTTGAAACTTAAAAACTTAGGATTTTACGTTTTTAGGTCACAAACGCTTCTACACAAAATTTCGGTCTTTATAACTTATGTAGTTAATAAAAACTCCGCTTTAAAACTTAAAAACTTACGATTTTACGTTTTTAGATCACCAAAACGTTTTCACGTAGAAACTCGCTTTTGACTACATTGCTGCCAAACTCATTCGGTTTTCAGTTTGTACAGGTTGGACATACCATTTTTTGTACTAAACCATTGTTTTAAATCAGAGTCGTAATGAGGATTCGTAACCATGACTTTTCGATTCTAGCCTCTGATACTATGTTAACAAACTAACCACTTAGTAATAGTTAAACCTTTTAATCTCTTAAATGATCGGCAAATATCGGAACTTTTGAAATCGTGGACACCGTACAGCTTGGATGCAAAGTGTAGAACTAACTTACGGAGTCCAAGAGTATGTTGGAAGTTTTGAAATCGCGGTAGATGACAGGTTTCTCTGTTTCGTGGAGGAAAGCCAGACCTCTGGCTGCTCCAATGGCAATCTTCATCCTTGTTGACCATGGCAGCGTAGCAGTGTATCCTGCGGAGTTAAGAACATCAAGACTCCCAAAAACCTGGTTGAAATTGAGGAAAAGTAAACCCCAAAAAGAAAGAGAAAAAAAAGAATCCGTACTTCTGAAGAGCTGATTCTCCAGACTTCCCCGTGGCATGTACTCGTAAATCAGCACCCTCTGTTCTTCCTCGTAACAGTACCCAATCAACTTCACCAGGTGCGGATGCTGCAGTTGTCCCAGAAAGATGATCTCCGCCTGCTCGCCCGCACACCAAATTCATAATTACTACTATTTCTACTAGAATCGAATCGAATTTCATGAATTTGCAGAAATCGCTTACCATCCACTCCTTGTGGCCCTGCAGCCCCTCCAAATCCAACGACTTGACAGCGACCGGCTGGGCCTTCAACCCAGGCTTGAGCTTGTCGTCGACGAACCCTTTGTAAACGGGGCCGAACCCGCCTTCGCCCAGCAGATTAATCCGGGCGAAGTTCTGGGTCATCACTCTCAGCTCCGCGAACGAGAAAACGTACAGCTTCGAACCCCCGACCAAGGAATTCGAGATGTCCTCCATACACAGCGCCACTTTCGGGTTGCTGAAATCGGACAGGGACAGTCTCGTGAAGGAAGCCGTCTGTTTCAGAACCTTCTCCTTCTTCTCCTTTTCCTTGTCCTCCTCTTCCTCTTCAGCTTCTTCGTTCATCATCATCTCCTCGAATTCCGGCAGCGGGCTCGTCTCTCTGTTCGTGGAGCACCCGCAGATCATCGATTTCCATGTGTACTTCATTTCCAATTTCTGGGTTCTCTGTCTTTTCTTCCTCTAGTTTCGATGATTGCTTTCCAACATAGGAATAAAGAAGGCGCAGAATGACGAAAATGAAACAAAGGGTTTGTTGGTTTTTTCAGAGCTGCCTGTAGTTGGAGCTCTGTTTCGGTGGAATTCTACAGAGGAAAAGCAGTAATGGAAACAGAGGCAGGGCAGGGCAGGATTGAAGCTGATGCAGAGGTAAGAGCAGCCAAGGAAATCCAGGCAGGCTTCAATGGAGAACAACTGCAAACAGAGAAGAACAAGGAGAAAGGAAAGAAAAAGAAGATCGGAGAGAAATTATTAATACTTCCCTCCCTTCTCTCATCGTCGTCATCACCATGATCATATATATATATATATATAGACACATTAAAGTTTCGAGCTTTGCGTATTCTACTAGGTATTCCTGTGTCAACAAAACGATTAAAATTGGGGGGAAGGAGAAAGAAATATATTCCTGTGTCAAAATTCTCTTGACCGTAAAATTTCATTAACTCTGAAACATGGGTCGTGGGATGAATTCGCATATTTACTTGAAAAGATCGAAAGATGCGGGTTTTTGGGTAGGTTCGGATGTCAATTACCAAGTTTTGGGGGGAGTTGGTGGGCATTATTTCGTCATGGGGATGCTACTGGCTGCCTCTAACTCTTTGACTTTTTCTACCACCAAAAGGAAAAAAATTTAGCTTTCTTTTCCTTCCCCAACCTTTCATTTGTCTTCTATTGTACGTTTACAGGTGGACTGAACCTAACAACCAGTTGCGTGAACAGGTAAGACATAAGCTTAGTATTGTGCATTCTTATTCTCATTCACACAATCCATGCGAGGAATTTTTTTTTTTATAACAAAACTGTTACTATAAATCATTTGTTTTCATGAGTTTGACAATATTTGTAGGAATCCTACTATGGCGGTGGGTTTGACTCGGATTGTCCTAAAATTCATTTTCGTCTTCATTTTTATGTTCTCAATTTTCGTGAAAATGGAGTTTTTTTTTAATTTCTTTCTCTACGATTTTTCTGATATAAGCGGATAATCTCCACCTCGAACATTATATCAAAGATCGATTTAATGTTTAGTGTAATTAAGTTAAGAACATATATGGACTTAACATGGAGAGTGGGTTTAATGACACCCCTTGTTTGTGTTCCGAAGAAAAATTAAATAAATTTGAAAGTGGAACGCAGCTAGATCATAAATAGATAGTTGATTACACCAAAAATACTAATATTTTTAGAACTTAAAATTGGAACTAATATTTGATTGGGTCTTCACCTCTGACTGGGATGACTGATTTTGTGCCCGGTCGAGTTGTTGCTGACGCTGCTCAACGAAAGTATGTCAAGTATCGAGACTTGTGCATGGCAGCTGGTTACGGTTTTCTACCATTTTCTTTTTTTTCGCTGGGAGAGTTGGATACGTATGTCGTGGCTTTGCTCAAGCGGATCCAGAAATTCTTCATGTCTCAGGATGCGGGGGCTCGGGCGGCCGCATAAAAGGAAATATTTTTATTAAAAATGAGCAAAAACTTATTAATAATAAATCAACACCCCCTTTCTTCGTCTACCTTTATTGTTGGAAAAAAATCTTATTGTTTGAAGTTGAATGAGTGACAACATTATAATTTCTTAATGCTACCATCATCCATAGTAGGAATAGCTTAATGAAATAAGTCTCAAGTATTTTCCACCCGTAAAGCTTGTATGTAAAAACCTTTGATAATTTCCATGACTTGTAGGGTGTCGTTATGCCATATCATTGATATTGTATTTCACATAATTGACGAAATTTCATCTTCCTAGGAGTTGTGAATTGTATACTTTTACCACTAAGGAAATCCATGGCCACATTGTAAAAAAAAAAAAAAAATCCATGGCCAAGTCATTCTAGATTTTTTGTGATTTCCATCGAACCACAAGTTCAAAATATCTAAAATCACTACATATTCAGTTTTCCATTTCAAATCTAAATCTCGTTTCTCCACCCACTGCCCATGTTCATCCTATAAATATCTTATTTCTTTATTGTTATTTTTGAGGGGACATGTAATGGATGCTGATGCAATCAAGTACAAAAGACTGTACAAAGGTGATAAAAAAAAATCCCAACTAAATAACTAAAAATTAATGTTCTTTCAATACTTAAGATATTCATAGAGAAAATACTCATAATTAGGACTATGTCAACATGCTCAATCGTTAACTTAGAAAATAAATAACATGTACTTAATTAAGAAGCTAACAGCCTAACACAAGTACTTTTTTTTTATGAAACTAGCTGCTATATACATATCATATTACCTCGTATTAGCCATCTTCACTAAATGTCTCAAGTGACGAGCAATGAAATCATGTTAGACGACCCGAGGAGAGTCTGTAGCTGTTTTAAAGGAGATGATATGAGTGATGAGCAAAATTAGGGACTAAACTTGCTAGTGATGGATGAGCTATTATGGATAAAGATTGAGGAAACATTGCGAATTTTGATTTAATTATGCAAAGTTTAGCTTAAAATTCACAGGGCCGTGCATCTAATTAAGCACTGTTCATAGAAATTGTTAGGCAAGAAATAAGAGCATTTTAAGTGCACACTCACATTTTGTACTTGTACCACATTATATTTATTTGTTTAATTAATTTTGAAACCACCATCCTGTCAGTAACTATATGTATATATATGTAAATTGGCAATGGAACTTAACCTCTTAAATTGTTAGGCAAAGGAATATAGATCTCCCCTTTGCATAGTAGCTAATTGTCAACAACAACCAAAAAACACTGGAGCAGAGTTAGAACCTGTAAGACAAACAGTAACATTGTGGAATATCTCTAATTTAGTGAATGTTACTTTGCTAAAAACATCTGAAACAATTACATTAAAAAAAACTGAGCGATTCCCAGTTGTTGTGTATATGAAAGGCCGTGATTACCACCATGCTAAATATCTCTCTATTATAAACTGAACCCACAAAAGTCTACTGTTTCCCGAGGATGGATAAATAATCCCGTCCGGAGTGGAATTAGTAGCTAGCTAGATCGGGTCTCATAATCAAAAAAAAAAAAAAAAAAAAAAAAAAAAAAAATGAGGGATGCTCTCGCCTCTCTCCTCAGTTTCTGTTGCGCGGCGGGGCGCCTCCTCCTCGTCGTGATGGTGGCGTTCTTCAAGGCCAGCGCAAATAATCAACACTCAAGGTGGCAAGGAGGTAACCCTCGTGCTACAGGGACAGAGGCGATCCTGGAATTCTTCAGATCTCGATCCGCAGCGGAGCGTCGGGTTTCTTCCTCGGATCGAAAAGAGGAAAATACTCCTCGGATTCACAAGGCACAAAAGCCGATTGGCAGGGTTCGATGCAACACTAGGAAACGCTCTAATGACGACTTTCCTCGGATGGATGGGTACAAACGCCGTAAGAAAAACCCCAAAGTGGGCTGGCGATTCCAGTTACCTTCCTCGTATGAGCTGGAGGAGACGACTCCCCCCAGCTTGGCGGAGCGGGCTCCGATGGGGTCTCGCTCCGGTATTACTCCGGCGGACCTGGTGGCCCAAACAGAGGGACAACCGGTGAAATTCCCGGAACACAAATCCTCGCCTGATACAGAGGCTTTCCAAGTTTGGCGTAAAGCCATAGGGTCCAACGGACTCCGATCGCCAAATTGCTGGCCCATTCCCGCCGGCCATCGGCGGCTGCGGCGGCGACGTGATACCCTGGAAAAAAATAAAAAACATAATTTAATTCCAGATAATTCTCCCTGGTTTTTAGGGATACAGGAGGTTTTCTCCAAGATTCTAAATGGTTACGGAAACAGACTCAACTTCCCCAATCCCACTTGGACTCTGCCTCTGGTGGCCGGTAGGAGTCAGCCTTGCAGTGGGAATCAAGGGGTTGCTAGTCTTGTTATAAACCCGCCTCCCCAATTACTGCTCAGTGCTTCAAAATCTTGCACGGTTAAACTTGCGGTGGACTGGGTGATACTTTCCCTCCAAAGAAGGCGACGAGTGGCTGTTGGAGCTCTTCCAGGTAAACCTTCTTTGAGGTGCCCTGCTCTACACCCTGCTCGTAACCCGCTGCCCCGGCTGACTCCTGTCTCCATCCCGTCTTTGTCCATTGATCCTGTTTTATTGCTAGCCCCGTCTAGTGGCTTGCCTCCCCCTAAATTGTCATCATTCGTGGTGGACTTGCAGGTTCGGGAAATGGCGCGTATCAATGAGGATCAGGTTGTGCAATTCTCTCTCGAAGAGGTGCAATCCACGAGGTTCAGGACGTCGCGTACCTTATTGGGGAGGGTATTCTCGAATGCCAGAGTCACCCCGATGGAATTGAGGGAAGGAGTGAACACACCATGGCTGGGCAGGGGCCAGATTCGTGTGATGCAAACTAAGCACGGGCTCTTCGAGTTTATATTGCCCACTGAAGAAGCCAAAATATGGGTTTTGAAACGCTCCCCTTGGGTAGTGAATGACAAGCTCCTCGTTCTGAGATCGTGGCTTCCTAATATCACGAGGAACATCTTCGACGATCTGGCCGTGGCACCATTCCGCGTCCAGATATGGGGAGTTAATGACGATTGCTGTACCAAGCAATTTGGCCAGAAGATGATCTCCACTGCCATTGGCCAGGTGCTGGAATCTGAAGTCTTTGCCTGCAAAGAGACGGGTGAGCGCTTTCTTAAAGTAAGGACGATGATTGACTTCACCAAATCACTTCGTTCCCAGCTCCTGGCAATCTGTGCGGAAACCGGAAAATTCTGGGTCAATCTGAAATATGAACATCTCCCCAGTTTCTGCTTCCATTGTGGCCGGGTGGGGCATCTACAGAGTGACTGCAACTTTGAGCCACCGGCTAGGAAGGAACGTTATGGAATCCACATGATTACCAAGAAACAGGGGCAGAAAGTCTATGACCAAGAAGATAATCACCATCCACAAGGAGGGGCAAGGAAAACAGTCTGGGTTAATCAAGAGATCCGAAAGAAATCAGGGAATGCTGATTTGAGGGGGAGGATGCAGCCCCCGCCGTCGGAGAATGTTAATCGGGTCGTGCAGCAGCCTCTGGGTCGACGCAATAAGGGTGAATCTGCTCGCCGTACTCACCCGGGGTCTACACTCCAAGTGCCCTGGGTGCGCCCGACCCCTTCGCCCCACCGCGGCAGTCCTCGGGGTATCAGATTGTCGAAATCTCCCAGAGTTAAGATGAGTCAAGGGCTGCGCAAGAGGGCTGGGCAAATTGCAAGGAAAGAGAAGCTGCGGGTTCCCGCCAGGGAAGAGATGTCGAGCGGAGGGATCGCAGGGGTGGATGTTGAAAATAGGAGGGTCGCGGCTGATGTCCCGGCGAACCCTGGTATCCCTATGGCGACAGTTG